TGGGTTCTTATAGTCGGATTCGGGTTCGGTGGATGGGCTAGTGTAACCAACTTTGTTCGTCAAGTCGACACTTTTGGTCTCTTTGCTAAGTGTTACCAGTGTAAACCAGCTGCAGCCGCTGCACATGCTCCGGTCTCTGCTTTACACCACCGTCTTTGAGAGATCGAGTCAGGGGTGGTCTAATGCTTTTGTGGAGGGTTCTTAAAATTATTTGTTCTTCTTTTGTGTTTTGTGTTCGTATACGTGAGGGAGTAAAAGTCACGAAAATAGTGTTCTTCTACACCTCTTTAAATGCGTGCTAAGCTCTTAATTTTTTTTTTTTCTCTTTTGGGGTTTTGTATTTTTGTTTTCACTCCTTATTATTTTTTTTTTTGAAATTTGAATAGTCGATAATATGTAGTGTGTGATTTCTTAATTTGGTATTGTTAAAAACAATAGGCTAAGAAATGTATCGTCTTCTCTCCCTTTACTTGGCTTTAGTAACACAAAAACAATTCTTATCTTATGACTTGTATCTCCTTCCTAATTAGACAGTAAATTTTTATTTTTTGTCATTAACATGCACTTACACGGTTTAATAATACACAACGACAATCCGTTTAATAAAAAAAAAATGTAGTAACAAAAGTTCAAATCTTCTAAAATCTATATATATAATGGGAGAGTTTTCTCTCCATCTAGGGTGTCCACATCAGCATCCATGTCATCATAATTTATTTTTTTTGTGGGCTCCACCTATTTCATTTATTAAAACAAAAACAATTAAACTAAAACTAATTCACACATTAAATAAAAATAATAATTGACAAAAATTAATGAAATATTATGGAAAAACGTAAAAAATTGTATATTAGATCATATACAATATGAAAATTTTGAATAGAGATTGAATAAATTAGATCATTATATTTTAACATATAATGAGTAAATATTTTTAAATAGTTAGAGATACGAAAAAAGAAACTTATCATATATTTTAATGGTACAAAATTTATTTTTTAAGAGTTACAATTATTTAGTAGAGTAAAGAAAATAAGAGTTAAAAAACCAAATTTAAAGGTTTTTACTTAAAATAGAAAGCAATTCATTTCTGGAAAATAGACATTTAAAATTTGAGTACCGATTAAAAAATAAAAAGAATTTAGAACATATTATTATTTATAATTATAATATAATATATATTAGTATATTTTCTATATTATTAATTTTTTCTAAATTAAAAAGTGAATACCTAAAAAAGAAAAACTAAATATTAATTAGTGTTTAGAAAATTAACATAGATTGAAAAAAATTAAGGTGATTTGCAATAATAAAAAAAACTATCCTGAACTTCAAAAATAAAAATAAAATAATTTTATCGAGTATTAAAACTGTGTAATAAAAATATTTGAGAATGCTATTTGGAAATTAGAATAGTAATGGTAGATAGAAGAGTTTTTCATTAGAAATAAGGGAAATTGTTAAAAATACCCCTTTTGGTGTGCCTCTTTTCAAAAATGCCCCTTTTAGATGTCCATTTTAAAAAATGCGCCTTTTTAAATCTGAAATTTTTATAAAGTTTTATTAGGTTTATAAGGTACTTATGGATTGTAACTACTACTTGAAGACTCGATCCAAGTATTTATAAAATTTTATAAGGTGTTTTTAAAGGTTTTACAAGTTATTTTAAAGAATTTTTTAAGGTTTTTCAAAGGTTTTACAAGATATTTTAAAGGTTTTTAAAAGTATTTAAAATGCATTTATAAGGTATTTATAAAGTATTTATAAGATTTTAGATACATAGAAATGTAGTTTGTGTATGTTTTAATAATATTACATACATATTTGGGTAAATCTTATATTTTTAAGAGCATTTTTTATAAGGTTTTTTAAAAGGGGTATTTTTGAAAAGTGGCATTGAAAAAGTGGCATTTTTGCAAAAGCCCCTAGAAATAAAAAGGATTTTTTTTTTAAAAATAAATGTATTTTAAAATTAGAATAATTTTTATGAGTTCGTAAGTGTCACATTAAGAATACTTTCTAGAATCATAATATACGTTAAATTATATATGTAGAAAGAGATTTTTGTATTTTTCAAATGGTCAAGATAAAGTGCAAAATTTGCACCTTGAAATCCTATGTTTGCGAATAGGAATGAGTCTATGAAATCTATTTTCTATAAAGCAATTTTAGATGCACCAAAACATGGTAAAAAAAAGCTTTATGATAAACATCTCCTCAGATTTCTGTTCACTTTAATAAAAAGATCATGAAACTTATAAAAAAAAAAATTGAGTATCGAATGATATGAAGGAGAAAATATAAATGATCTAAGGAGAAAAGAGAGTAGATGTTGGGAGACGACGAGTGAATCATAGAAGATAACGAAAAATATTGTAGTGAAAAATGTGAGAAACGTTTTACTATGTTGGAAAAACTTTATATCTTACTCATATTTAAACATGAAACTTTTGAATTGAGATTAGAGAAATATAAAATTAGATAATTATATCTTAACATATAATGCGTAATTATTTTTAAATAGTTAGAGATAAGAAAACGGAAACTTATCATATATTTTAATGGAACAACAATCACTTTTAAGAATTACAATTATTTAGTAGAATAAAGAAAGTAAGAATTAATAAATACCAAATCTATATATATAATGAGAGAGTTCTCTCTCCATCTAAGGTGTCCACATCAACATCCATGTCATCACATTTTCTTATTTTGGTAGGATCCATATATCTTATTTATTAAGAAAAACATATTAAAATAAATTAATTCACATAATTTATATTATTACCCTCCATTTAAAAAAAAATTACAAAAAAATTAAATATGAAAAAACGGAAAAACAAATATAAAACAGATAATGAATAATTATATCTTACTCATATTTAAACATGAAACTTTTGAATTGAGATTGGAGAAATATAAAATAAGATAATTATATCTTAACATATAATGCGTAATTATTTTAAAATAGTTAGTGATAAGAAAACGGAAACTTATCATATATTTTAATGGAACAACAATCACTTTTAAGAATTACAATTATTTAGTACAATAAAGAAAATAAGAGTTAATAAATACCAAATTTAAAGGTTCTTACTTAATAAAAAAAGTAATTTATTTCTAAAAAAAAAAAATTAAAATTTGAGAATATATTTGTTAAGGTTAAAGTATCAATTCCTTATACCGGTTAAAAAATAAGAAGGATTGAGTACATATTATTGTTTATAATTATAATATAATATAAATAGTTAAATTAAGAAATTTGTCTATATTATTAATGTTTTCTTAATTAAAACATGGAGGGTTTTATATAAAAAATAAATACCTAAGAAGAAAAACTAAATAGTAATCAGTGTTTAGGAAATTAACATAGAATGAAAAAAAATTAAGGTGATTTGAAATAAAACAAAGACCTATGTTTTAGTAATGGTATATTGAAGAGTTTAATAAAACTGTGTAATAATAATCTAATCGAATAATAAAATTGTGTAATAATAATATTTGAGAATGCTATTTGGAAATTAGAATATTAATGGTATATTGAAGAGTTTTTTAATTAGAAAGAAGAATGATTTTTTTTTTTTTTTAAATAAACGTATTTTAAAATTAGAATAACCGGATTGAGGACGAACGGCGAGGTAGACAATGATTGTGGTTGATTTACTCTTACTTTGTTTTGTTATTTCAGTTCAAATCTTCTAAAATTTAAATAATTAATGGGTTTGATTTAGAAATATTAAACCTACGACTTGTTTTTTGATATAATAAATTTATCTCCTTATAAAATAGCTAATTCTTAGACTTTTGCTATAATTTTTTTAAATCAAATATTCATATAGAGATTTTTTCATGAATTTTTTTTTTTTGATAACCCAGTATCCAGACCACACTGTGATCCGACTAGCCCACTGGGCCTAATCCCGCATGCTTGGGATTTTTAAGCCTCCACTTAAAGGCCCCCTGGAACTGGTGGTCTGGGACGCTGCGCCCCACAAATAAATTGCGTAGTGACCGGGACTCGAAGCCGGGTGGCGGGTGCCTCAGCCGAGGTTCCTTTCATGAAAATTTTAAAATTATACTTAAGTAAAACTCAATCTATTTAGAAACTTTTTTACTTAATGGCAGGTAGTGTTTAAAATTAAAAAGGGAACATGGACAAGTTGGACCGACGGAGCCGGTCATATCCTTTGGGCCACATGGGTGTGGGGTGAGGTCGCACGTGGATTCTTCGTCCGAGTCACGTGCCATTATTTACTTGACACTCTTCTTCTTTTTCTCTCTGATCAGAAGAATGGATCAGAGGACCGTTCTTGTCTCTCATATTAAATATGGCATGTGTTCGTTCATTCGTACTCAATCGTTTACCCTTATCATATGCTCTGCTTTCACATGTACTTTGCCCCCAAAAAAATATAACTATATATTTAAATTATTAACTAATATTCTCGTTTGAATCCAGAGTCGATTCTTGTACTTTCCATCTGACTTTTTTTTTTTTTCTTGTTTTTGGTTAAAAAAATAAAATAACTTTGCATAAATGTTTCTTCTAATAGCATATAATCTTTATAGAGAAAGAAGAAGTGAGAATGTGACACAATGTGAATGTGAGTCATATTATGCGATATGGAGTAGGACCGACCCTTCGTAACGTTGGTTAGTGAGTGGGTTCAAATAGTCAATAACTATTATGTGATGAGAGGTGAATCTTGCTTGTTTTTAATTTGTTCTGATTTAGGCCATGTGAGTTTTGCGACTATTTGAGGTTTTTTTATTTCTTGATGATAAACATTTTTGTAAGTGGAATATATAGACTACCTGGATACAAAAAATCTTGGCTAAAATGGATAAATCTAAGTATCCAATAGATAGTATTTCATAATATATCTCATACCAATTAATTTAATCATGTCTTTTCATATCATTTTGAGATCTTTCTCTCCTTTGGCCTCGATCCATTATTTGACATCTTGGAGAGCTAAAGGGTAAACCATGTTTTCCAATCATCAAACAAGAGAGTTGAAATGTCCCGATTAATCGCTTACTATATAACAGGTTGGACTAAGAACTTAAATCCAGTCGAGAATACTTCAAAAATATGGGACTAGAACACATAATATTTCTTCATACGAAACAGAACATAGTCTTAGCATGTTCAGGATTTAGAATACATTGAAGAATCACACTCCTTCGTTCATGGCCTTAAGGTACACGAGGCCTAGGGAAAGTCTCGTACTCTTGTTGGGTTTGATCTTGAGAAGGTATTTGAGGTACACGCGGCTTAGGGAACAAGAGCTTCAGGCGAAAAGCATCCATCCCATTCAAGTAATAGTGGTATAGCCGTTTGGCCCTTATAAACCCGAGGCGCCCATATAGTGCTAATGCTCCTTTGTTACTCACTTCTGCCTCCAGAGTTACCTTCAATCATACATCTTTTCATTAATTAGATTGCGTAATCACACAACCATACTCTCAATCCCATCTTGTAATCAGACAATGAAGAGCAAATGCCACTCAAGAGGTGTTTTTTTTTTGCAATCTACTCAAATTACAGTAAAGGGATCTCACAGATACAACAGAAAATAATTTGTTGAATATACAATTAGTAAATGGGAGACAAGGATTTCTGATTTCAAATTACCATTTCAGTTACATACCAATGCTTATTGATATAAGTAGTCATGGACTACATACAAGACTTATATGTCATATGGATACTATGTGAGAGACAGGCATTCTGCTTCCAAACTACAACATCAGTTACATAACACAATAACACTGCGTCCAAACGAATATCAAACGGTTCCAATTTTAGGAACACGATTACTACAACTCTATTAGCTAGAACCAAACTTCTACACTCAGTGATATACAAACTTATTATAGCTAAACAATCAAATGCAATAGGTACACTTGCAATGATTAGATGCAGCTATATCACCTAACCTCTGAAATTCTATCCTAGCATGATAAAAAGGAGGAAATGTTTGAGGACATGTAATGTAACTCCTCAGAGAAGATGGTTCATAATGTCTATCTACAATTCTACTACCAGGTAAGGATATCACTCTAGTGCCATCAAATAATTAATTTCGCCAGAAAGGGAATAAAGAGAGAAGTGAATTTTGTGAGCAGCATACCTCTTCACAGCCTGACTCCATCATCACTTTTATCGATCTTGTGACCAGCTCTGAGGCTGTAAAGCACAATGATAAGTAAGAACACAAGAATTTATAAAATTAGGAGAAAGGCATGGCTTTGCAGTGGATCAAACACGATCAGAACCACAGGAAGTTCAGTTATCGCTACTCCAGAGTCCAGAATCAATCTGATTGTATAAGAAGTTAGGGGCAGCAGCTTGAAAATTACCTATGCCTCGGCCACGATATGGTTTAATCACAACCAACATGGCAATGTACCCTCTGAAAGTCTGTCGATGATCCCCCATCTTACAGACTACGGTTCCTACGCATTTACCTTTGTGAAAGGCCTATTAAAAGAAAAGAAACAAATGCTGCTCATCAATCCATCAAAACATAAGTATCATACTATCATGAAAGTAAAGCAATTATAATCGAAAGCAGAGTATCAAAATACCAGGAAGCATAGCTGTGGCCAGAGGTAGACGAAGTATCGGTAAGTAAAGATGGAGTAAGGTTCACTAAGTTCTTGGTCAACAAGAGACATAATCAATGGCAGATGATGCTCACCAGCATAACTCGTGTACTCAATCTCACCCTCATCGAATTCTTCTTTATCTTCCATATTTTTCTCCATTGAACCCGAATGATATATACTTATAAAGATAAAGATGAAATTTTGATTAGTTGTTTATATATTGATGATCTTGTTCTTACAGGGAGTGATGAAAAACTTGATGCAAAGTTAGAGAAGATAAAGCAGAGCTTCGAAAGTAGTGATTTTGGGAAACTAAAGCATTTTCTGTGAATCGAATTAAGTTTGAGTGATTGTTTCAGAATTGAAAGTGCAACGTTTTCATGACAAATTCAGATTCCTCAAATCAACAGCTGAAGTAGAGTCTATAACACTCTAGTAAATCAAACGACTTTGGCTAAAGCAAGTTCTAGAAGATTTGAGAGTTCAAATACAAGAGAGCTTACCAATGTTCTGCGATTGGGAATAGTAAGAATCCTGAGCAGCTTAGAAGAACAAAACAACACAGATTAAAATACCAAGTGATTAGAGAATTAGAAAGAGATATGATTATAAAAATCGAAACTTTTCAGAAGCCAAGATCAATGAGTCGATGATAATAATACTTACCAAGAGTTTGAGCTTTGTGAAATTCGAAGATCAAAAGTTTCGATTGGGTTGATATCTGAAGAAGAAAGGAAGCTCCAAAGAGAAGAAGAAGAAGAAGGTCGATTACACACGTGACAAGCATGTGTAGGGTTCTAAGATAAATTTGGGCTTTTAACAAAAAGCCCAATTTAAATAATTATTAAAAATTAAGGCCCAAATAAAAAGCCTATCCTAAAATCATTTTTCTACTCTCACTACCTTATCTTCTTCTTCTTCCTCTCGAACACATTCGAAAACAGCACACGGCGATGGCGTCGCTTATACTCGGAGCTCCTCCGCGAGTCACCGTCGCTTTATCTTCTTCACGGTTATCATCATCTCACTCAGAAACCGCCGGTGTCTCTCTCTCTTGCTCCACTCATCAATTCTCTCTCTCCACTTCATCCTCCAGCTCAATTCCACTCGGTAATCTCTCTCTCTCTCTCTTTCTTCTTCCCAATGCTCTCTCTTAATTCGTCAATGGCATAATTCTCCGGTGTACCAGTGTACTGTGGTAGAGGTGACCGTAAAACAGCTAAAGGAAAGCGTTTCAATCACTCTTTTGGGAATGTAAGTATTCAATTTCTCTTCCGATTCTGTAATTTTACTTTTCGAATTCGAAATTTTGGGTTTATGTGAACAGGCGAGGCCGAGAAACAAGAACAAAGGAAGGGGACCGGAGAGAGTACCGGTTCCTCCAGCACCACCGAGGAAAGATAAGTTTGAGAACGACGAGAAGATCAAAATCGACATCGACGAGTCTCTCTTCTCTAATTAGAAAATGAGATTCTTCATTCACTGTAATTTTAATTTGTTTTTAGAAACCTTTGTTGATGCTGCGACTCTTTTGTTGTTAAAACATCTCCAAGTTCTCATCTTTCTATGAAAGTTTGCTTCTTTATGATTCATTGAGTCTTTTACATTGAAAAGTAAAGCAAATGTGAACAATGGAAGCAAACGAAGAACGAGAATCTATATACTTAAGTGTGGGAATTTGTGATGTTTCTGCAGACTGTGCAATGAGTGGAGATGAGAGTGTGCATTACACTTCCTTCTTCAATCTTAATCTTCCTTGTGACTTTGTTCCACAGATGTATCATGTAACTCCCTTTGTTCATATCCTGTACCGTCTTCTCTACCCATTTTGCTTCTCTTGTGGTTGCAGGTTTCTTGAAAAGCTTTTGGATTTTGATCCAATTCACTGGATAGAAAGCGTCGGGGGAAAAGATTGTGAGGTTGTATCCAGGTTTGTTTCCTAATCTCTTGATAACTCTAGAGACTAGGTAAGGGCTGTTGTATCCCCATCTGTTTCCGTCGAATGTTGTGGCATACTCTTGCAAGAATTCTCGCATAAGCGGATGGTAGATGTCAAAGACCATCACTGCGTTGTTTAGTCTTGTCCATCTCTTGGTTCCTGGATCAATACTCTGTGCACCAATAGCGTTTCTCAGTCCTGTCATATCGTTAAGGAAGATGATGTCTGTGTCTAGATAGACTCCTCCGTATTTGTAGAGTACCGCGAGTCTTGTTAGATCAGAGAGATTCATAAACAAGGGGATAGAACCGGGATCCATGTGGCCACTCTTTAGCCTTTTCAGCCAAGCCTCGGCAGGAGTGTTCTTGACGAGGAACGGGATATCTAAAGTTACAGCAATGAGGTTGAAACCTCGATCAAGCAATGGTTTAAGGATGGTGTATCCTCTGGGGGAGTCTAAGGAGTTGGACAAAATCGCCAAGCAAGCACCAGGATTGGTGGTGAAGAGAGTATCAACAGCTAACATCTCTCTTGGTCCAAAGGATTTTGCGGGAGAAAGCCAGATCATAAAGAACTGAGCTGAGCAATTGTTGATGTACAAGTCCAAAACTCTTTTATGGAATCTCTTGTTCTTGGTAGTCGATTTCAGTATCTCCAGCTCAGGTAGCTTTCTTCTGAACCAGTCAATTCTCTCGTTCTTGCTAGCTTTACGAGGAGGCACCAACGGATCTAACTCCTTTTCGTTATACTCCGAGTCCAAAACTGAGTTGATATTACAGCTACTACTCATGGGGCCATAGGGTCTGGGAAGAGGCACGTTTGGTTTGAACGGTGGGTTATTATCAGAGACAGTAGAGTTCGGAGATTCTATGTAGAGGAGATACAATAATAAGACAGAAAACGTGAAGATTGCGAATATTGGTAACTTCCTTGCTCGCATCTTAATCCTCTGAGTACTCTTGCTAGGTATCCTTGTTAATTACCTTTGCGTTAGACAGAATATAGATCTTTAGGTAGTTTATATATAGAGATACACTTGGTACCTTATTCTAGAGGGAATAAGAGTACATATATTGCCGCTCTTGAACATTAAATCCATAGAACAAAGTTGTTTCGGTTTAGGTCACCTAGAAAACCGGGAGGTCCTAATTGGAGTTGCAAGAATTTTCCTGCGAGGAACTACAATCTCAACCAATTTCTTGGTGCCACGTGTAAAATCGGTTTGGTACCTTCATGGCCGTGAGACCGACCTCTCCCAAGCATGTTTGTATAGTTCCTACTCACAGGCACGATTTTTAATAGAATGACTTGAGAATTCATAAACAGAAGAAAAATTGGTGACGTTGCTTGAAACACAAGTCATAATTCCTAAGTTTTGCATTTTCTCTATAAGAATTACGATTTCGAAGTGGGGAAACCATTTTAAGATTCTCAATTTCACCATATTATTCAAAGCTTATACTAACATACAAAAACAACTCGAAAACAGAAGAGAATTCAAAGACCAAGAGAGAGTACTAACTGAAAGAAAAGTAAAAGTGAGATGGTCTAGCAAAAATAAGTTTTAAGAAAAGGCAGTGTAGATAAAGCATTAGTTTGTTCCCAACTCCTAAGTATAACGTGCAACACAATTACGATAGAGCTCAAATGAGAAGTCACACTCACAGCCAGAATAGGTAGACTCTTGTACGTGAATTTGGCTTGGCCTCCAAGATCAGTTTAGCCAATAAAAAACTAACACATGTGCTCACTCTAGGTTAGCTAATAAATCGAACTTGTTCTGCAGGAGGACCTTCGGCTGCAGAGGTCATGAGATGTATTACAATGTTGTGGTTTTGGCCTTTTCAAGCATGTTATTTAGGCCTTGGTTTACTGGTCTTGACTTGAGTTGCTTTGCATCATAATTGCATCGTAAGCACTGAGATCCTCTACATGGTCTATAAAAGCGTAAACTCTACTACCATTCTCAAAACCTTGGATTTCAACAATTTGGAGAGTGCTCCTTTCGGGATTGAAGTAGAAAAGATAAAACGGTTCTTTAGATATATGATCCAGCGACAAAACAATTTCACCTGTACCGGTCACCCCAACAACGAAATCACTGTAGCAAACATCGATGTCATTGAAGAATTCATTCTCAGGCAAAGTGTAGACATATTTTGACCATTCTTGTTTTTCGGCATCTTCTAGAACCGACATACACAACTCAATGTCATCAACATCATACTTCCAAGTAATCCCACATAGTTTACCTTTATAGTTTATCAATTTAATTGTATATTGACAACGAAAGCGTTGTGCGTCAATAAACTTGAAATCTTCTACCTATGTAATACAAAACTCCATTGGTACATATCCCATTAGATTCAGGACGATAATATGCAGGACAACGGAAATTCTTCCTCCACCTCAGTTTTTCAGTCCCTAATGTCAGAATTTTATGATGAGCCCATACCTTGAATTGCTTGCCAATCGGATCAAACCCTAAAAAGCTTGATTTTCTGCGGCTGATAAATTCAGGTAAGATTGCATACTGTCCCGTAATAACGTTACATATCATAGGCAATTTTAATTCATCCTCCTTTGCGATCAAAAAGTCAGGGAAATAGATCAAACCAGAAGCATAGCTCCAAATCTCTTCATAATTCATCTGTCCACGGAACTTCGAATGAAACTTTGCGGATACTACAAGAGACTTCTCGTATGGATTTTGAGGATAAGGTGACGAGTAAAAGAGCCACTCGCCGTCTCCTTCGACCCCAAATAAGATACGTGGACGAGCTGAAGACCTGGTCAAGAACAACTTGGTGAAATGTGGAAGGCGAAGCATGGACCCCCATAGCTTCGATACGCAACGAAATCTCACGATTGACTTTGCCGGCAATCTCGAGAGTATCTCAAGAATTAGATCATTTGGGATGGACTCTGAATATTCTCCTTTTGTCGTCGAACTCGAAGATCGTTGATTGCCTTGAGACATGGTTGGCTTATGTTTTAAGCAAGCTTGTTCTCACTGATTGATCTACGGAGGAAAAAGAATAATAAACTAGGGTTGAAGATGAAACCCTAATTAAATAACTAATTAGGAAGATCAATGAAGGAATGAATTAATACTTTTTAATTTTTTTTACTACAAGCCTATAAGTCTATAATGTATAATATTATCAATTTTTATCTGAGGTTTATATTATTTTGGTAAAATTTATATATGTTTCTACTTTCTAACATGGCTTCAATTGGTGATCCATTTGGATAAAATAATAAGAATTTCTCCAAATTCATTCCTCTGTTTCTAAGTTCTAACAGTCATCTACCACAAAAGCTACAAATATAGACATATAGCAAGAGAAAGGGAATTTCATCAACAAAATAAAATCAATGACGAGTGATTTTGGTGTGTAGCTTTTGAGCTATTGATACGTGAGTCGCAAGGCAGTTAGGTTTATATATCAAACATCAGGTAGCAGAAATCAAATTCTTCCGTATTTGGCTGATAAGTGAGAAAAAAAAGTGTTTGCCTAAAGCCATTTGGGCTTTGGACACAATCTTACACAAACACATCTATTTGATTTCCAATCATCTCTGAATTCCTCTGCAAACAATACAATGGTCTGAAATTATGATGTCTATGACACTGCCCTTACCGATCTTAAGTTTTCTGGTGATCTTGTTCCATAGATGCAGCCCATAGCTTTCTCTGTTCAGCTTCACCAGATCGGTTTTGAGTATTCTCGAGTCATTGCTGCTCCTTGGCGTTTGAAACAGTCTTGGAATGTTTAACCAAGTGAATGGATAGAATGCTACTGGTGGCAGTACTGTGAAATTGTCCCCAGTCGTTTCTCGTGCTCTTTGCGCTACTCTGGTTACCAAGTAAGGACCATTGTGTCCCCATTTGTTCCCATCAAAAGTCGAAGCAAACTCCTCTATGAAACTGAAAACAAGCGGGTGATCTTTCTCGAAGATCAGAACCGCGTTGTTCAACCTTGTCCAGTTCTTTGAATCTCCTTCCACCACTGTTTGTGCGCCAATAGTATTCTTCAACCCTTTAAAGCTCCTTGTGACGATGAAATCGGTATCTAGGTACACACCTCCGTACTTGTAAAGAATTGCTAGCCTCGCGAGGTTTGAAAGATTCTGCTGTAACGGTATCTTTCCCGGATCTCTTTTGCAGCTTTTCATTTCTTGAAACCAAGATTTAGCCGGGGTGTTCTCAAGAAGCAATGAAATGTCTGGTGTGGCTGCAAAAACCTTGTAACCGCGATCAATTAGCGGTTTTAGGATGCTATCTCCTTGTTGAGAATCCAAGGATCCCGATACAATCATTAAGCATCCTTGAGGATGAGATTTAAAGACGCTTTCTACAGCCAAAATTTCTCTCTTCCCGAAAAACTCTGCTGGTGAAAACCATGTCATGAAGAATCTAACCTCACATTTGTCGTCGAGAGAGTCAACAACCCTCTGATGAAACTGCTCTGAAAGGTTGGTTGACCCAAAAATCTCGAATTCTGTAAGATGTGATCGAAGCCAAGCGATCCTCTCTCTGCTTGTACTGTTCTTTGGAGGAGCCAATGACTTTCTCTCCATTTTGTTTATTTGTATTACCTCAGAGGTCGGTGAAGACCAGAAGAAAGTTGATTCTAGTGACATGTTTGAGACGATTGTTCCCGCGACAACGAGCAGCACTATGACCCCGAAAATGGCGGTAGAGAATACCGGGGAATTCGTGTGCCTGAATTGCCGGACATCAAGTACTTCTGAGAGACTCTTCTTGTTACAATTATCATTCTCCATTGTTTCAGAATGTCTTGAAACAGAGAAGGAAAGTCAAAAACTCACATGGAGTCTAAAGCTAATACAGATTATAACCTCCTCAATTATAGTTTCATTATTCTTCTAAACTAATGTGATTTAATCTAAGTAGCTGAATTCTTTAAATGTAGATTAATGTGATTTGGTCTAAGTAGTTAAATTAACATAAGTGGAAATGTTGAGGTAGAATTAAAGAAGATGATGTCTCTGTTTTTAGGTATTATTGTTTTGGAAGTAGGATATTATAAGGTTCTTCATGTTTTATTGGCTTTAAAGAAAACTTGTTAAACTATACAAATACATGTACAGTTTCTAAATATTGTTAGGTCAATCTTACGTGGGAGTTTGGTTGTCATGTATAGATAATATATGATTGTGGAATATACTGAAGATGTGCATACCACTAACTTATAAGGAGTACCATATTTGTTTAGCTGTTCCTGTGGATGATTTATCAACACTAATGCATGTTCATACATTTACAAATGTTTTTTTGTAAAATCAGTTTTTCAATATTGTTTTAAAGATATGTCATTACAAGAAATTAACAAAACGAAACTAATTATTCTAATTAAAATTTTCTTGCCAAACTATTTAATGATACCAATTGATTAATTTTACCAAACTCTTTAAAGATTTAGTTGATTTTTTGCCAATTATTTAATGACTAATCGATTTGTGTTGAAAATTATGCATGATACATGCGGCATTTTTCTTTTCTTTGTCGGCATATGTTTTGTATTTGTGAGTATACGGATTACAATAAATTTATATAACCCTTTATTCTTTGGAAAATCAAACGAAATCTCCACACTACTACTATTAGCAAACAATCCTCAAAAACCTCCACCGGAAACAGAGTCATCGAGAGCTTCTTTACCAATGGATCAAAGCCCACTCCTTACCTTCTCTTTTGATCCACTAGTCAAAGGCGGCAGCGTTTTGATGTTTTGATAAAGAAGCTCTTGAAGACTCTGTCTCAAGTGGAGGCTTTGAGAACTGTTAGCTAGTTGCTACAGCAAAACAACCAGAGGAAAACAGTCTAAACCGTGAACTGATGATTTGAAGAATATATATCTTTCTCTAAGACTCGGCTAGGTTCAACTTGATTGGCCGATGTACCCATACATATAAGTATATAACCACCAAATGGTTACTAGGAAACAAAAATCACTAATGAATAGGTTCGAAAATAGTACTACGTAGCATCTATAATAATATGTAGTTTCCATAGAGTGTTCCACCAAAGCTGAGGGTATTTGGATATTAGGATGACTCGTTTTTGTTCATCGAGTTTGTAGGAGCATTGATTGTTACCCTCAGATTCTTCGAAACGCTATGCCTTATGTTCTGCAAAGCGAAACGTACAATTTTGTGGGCAATTTAAAGCTTGCAAGTTATAACTAACTAACTAGCTTCAATGATTAAAAGGAATAAGGGGATGTGTACCATGTGCCTCAAAGCCATGTCTAGAGACGACCTAGAAAGAGTTCTCCCGAAACCCGAGCAGGTGTTATCGTCAAATTTTGGAGGTGGCAGTTTCCTCATGTTCACAACTCTTTCCACCATTTGAGTCCCCATCAACACAGGATTCACATCATTGCTAATCTTGGACCGTCCCGTTGATCTGTCCGATGAACTGTGGACTCTGCTTCTTGAGGCTGAGACAGGTCTAGCACGTGTTTCAGGGATTGTTGGAGTTGTAGATTTAGCACTAGAGACTGACTTTCCCACCGAGGATGAACGGGTAAGAGCAGATGCTCGTGGATTGGATTTGTTTGAAGTGGTTCTACTATTTTGATTCGAATTTCGAGCAGAGTTGGTTAGTCTTGTGGAAGATAATGTGGCTCGTGAAGTGGGTGTGGCTTGTCTTGACGGTTTACTGCTTGGTAATACTTCTGCAGCTGTGTTGGCTTGTTTGCTAGAAGCAGTTCTTGGGGTTGGCTTGGAAGCCTTAACGCTCCGTGTCACAGGTTCTTGCGGAATGTTTTCAACCTTAAAGCAAAAGCATGACAAATATCAATCTTGTCTGTGTCCCCTAAAGACAAAGATGGCTAAACGAAGAGGATTCCAGGAAAGTAACATTGAGAGTAGTTAGAATCGGTTCTCACCCGTGGTTTCAGAGCAATGGACCTAGCTTTAGGCTCCTTGACGTTAACCATTGAGTTCTGTTTCCCTCCTAGTGTCTCAGGAGCCGCAAGTAACCTGGAATCAGATCATCTCTAGCTGAATATCTCAACAAAAAGAGAGTACTCTATTCGAAGATTCTATCTAACTGCAGCCAATAGCAACCAGATGAGACCAGTCATGCAGACATATAAGCCTATTAGAAGCATCACCATTGGAACACTACTATGACAGATAACTCATAAACATCTCAAAATTCACAAGAAAAGAAAATCAAAGAAGTACCACTCGTAATCTGACTTATCGTTCTCAGAGTCCAAAAACTTTTCAACAGCGCTCATAGGCAGCTTAACACAGCTCCTTTTCAAAAGCTCCAAACTCTTTGTGCTAGTCTTGTCAACACTGTTTACTCCTGTCAAAATCAAACAGCAATATTCAGGAAATCAAAATGTTGACTAGAAATCAGCTACAAGAGCTAACCAATCAACTCTATATTACTCAAAACGCACGAAACTAGTTCAAATAAGCTGAGTTTAAGCATTATTTCTTAGATTTAGGTTCCGTGAGCTCAGATTCGGAGAAATTGAAGTCAAATTTGAAGAAACGAAGATCCAGTAAAACTGAATCTTCTCGCGTCTTCGCATCTCCAGGAATAGAGAGAGTTCTTCATCTCCATCACGAACCACCACCACATTCTCCATCAACAAAGATTGATTCAGTCGTATATTCACGAAACTGCCACTGTTCTGATTCTCTCAGGTGCTCTCTTATTTTTTCTGGAGGTGGAGCGTTAATTACGTAGGGCCTAGTGACTGAATCTAAGATCTGAACCGTTGGATGTACAACGGCGATTGACTGATCGGACGGTTGATTTTTGAATTGGACTGACCAATGAGGGAGCCTCGTGTTTCGTGTGAATTCAAACTCTTCACTTCTTTTATTTGTTTTTTACACATATAAATCTACACGGCCCAATAGCTTATTCGTTGGGCTTTTTAACCCACAAAAGCTCGCCAATACTCTGATTTTTTACATTCTCACCAAAGGGTCTGATTTTTTGACATGATAAGGTAAACATCCCCCTATTAAGCTCTTTGGTCTAAGAAGCATAAACCTGTAATGTGTTGAAAAATAATTTTGTAAGCTGTTGAAAAATGCTTAACCTCTAATGTGAACTGTGAAGGCTGTGATGATATGGAAACAGCAAGACAGCCAGTTTCTAGGAGACCGAAACTGAGATCCATGTGAATATTTCTCAATTTTTTATAAGATTTATTATTTTGTTAATATCTATTTATGTTTCTAAATTTTAACATGGCTTCAATTGGTGATCCATTTGGAGAAAAATAATAAGAATTCCTCCAAATTCATTCCTCTGTTTCTAACTTCTAGTTCTAGCTTCTAACAGTCGTCTACCACAAAAGATACAAATATAGACATCAAGCAGTGTTCAAGAAAGCGCTAGGCGCTAAGCGGGCGGTGACCCAGTGCCTAGCGCCTAGAACGCTTAATCGGGGCCTAGGCGATTTTTTAGGCGGTTTAGACGTTTATAACATAAAAAATTATAAATATAATATTATATATAAAAGTTATATAAAATATCTATATAAAACTAAAAATTATGAAATTATAAACAAAAACTAGATAAAACATTTATTTATATTTATATTAAAAAATATATGAATATTTATAACTATATATAAAAATAAATCTCTAATTGAAATTGAAAAAATACATTAAACAAGATCTATGTGATTTTAGGCGGTCAAGGCGGTAATCTAGGCGTCGCATGAGAGCCTAGCGTCTAGTCGGAGCCTAGGCGACCGCCTAGACCGCTTTTTAGAACACTGACATCAAGACAATGAAATTTCATCAACAAATAAATGAGGAGTGATTTTGTTCTGTAGCTTTTGAGCTTTAGATACGTGAGTCGCAAGGCAGTTAGAATTATATATCAAACATCAAGTAGCAGAAATAATCGTCTTCCGTATTTGACTGATAAGTGAAAAAAAAGTGTTTGCCATTTAGGCTTTGGACACATATTTCACACAAACACACCTATTTGATTTCCTGTCATCTCTGCATTCCTCTGCAAACAACACAGTGATCTGAAACTATGATGTCTATGACACTGCCCTTACCGATCTTAAGTTTTCTGGTGAACTTGTTCCATAGATGCAGCCCATAGCTTTCTCTGTTCAGCTTCACCAGATCGGTTTTGAGTAACGTCGAGTCATTGCTGCTCCTTGGCGTTTGAAACAGTCTCGGAATGTCTAACCAATTGAATGGATAGAATGCTACTGGTGGCAGTACTGTGAAGTTATCCCCAATCGTTTCTCTTGCTCTTTGCACTACTCTTGTTACCAAGCAAGGACCATTGTGTCCCCATTTGTTCCCGTCAAAAGTCGAAGCAAACTCCTCCATGAAACTGTAAACAAGCGGGTGATGTTTTTCGAAGATCAGAACCGCGTTGTTCAACGTTTTCCAGTTCTTTGAATCTCCCTCCAGTAATGTTTGTACTCCTATTGAATTCCTCAACCCTTTAAAGCTTCTTGTGACGATGAAATCGGTATCTAGGTACACACCTCCGTACTTGTAAAGAATTGCTAGCCTCGCGAGGTTTGAAAGATTCTGATGTAACGGTATCCTTCCTGGATCTCTTTTGCAGCTTTTCATTTCTTGAAACCAAGATTTAGCTGGTGTGTTCTCAAGAAGCAATGAAATGTCTGGTGTGGCTGCAAAAACCTTGTAACCGCGATCAATTAGCGGTTTTAGGATGCTATCTCCTTGTTGAGACTCCATGGATCCCGATACAATCATTAAGCATCCTCGAGGATGTGATTTAAAGACGCTTTCTACAGCCAAAAGTTCTCTCTTCCCAAAAAACTCTGCTGGTGAAAACCATGTCATGAAGAATCTAACCTCACATTTGTCGTCGAGAGAGTCAACAACCCTCTGATGAAACTGCTCTGAAAGGTTGGTTGACCCGAAAACCTCGAATTCTGTAAGATGTGATCGAAGCCAAGCGATCCTGTCTCTGCTTGTACTGTTCTTTGGAGGAGCCAATGACTTTCTCTCCATTTTGTTTATTTGTATTACCTCAGAGGTCGGTGAAGACCAGAAGAAAGTTGATTCTAGAGACATGTTTGAGAGGATTGTTCCCGCGACAACGAGCAGCACTATGACCCCGAAAATGGCGGTAGAGAATACCGGGGAATTCGTGTGCCTGAGTTGCCGGACATCAAGTACTTCCGAGAGACTCTTCTTGCTACTATTATCATTCTCCATTGTTTCAGAATGTCCTGAACAGAGAAGGAAAGTCAAAAGCTCACATGGAGTCTAAAGCTATTGCAGATCTTAAGAAAGGTATATAATATAACCTCCTCAATTAATTGTTTCAGTATTTTTCTAAACTAATGTGATTTTTTCTAAGTAGTTTAATTCTATGTATTATGGTCATATTTTGGAGGTGGCAGTTTCCTCATGTTCACAATTCTTTCCACCATTAGAGTCCCTATCAACACAGGATTCACATCATTACTAATCTTGGATCGTCCCGTTGATCTGTCACCTGAACTGCAGACTCTGCTTCTTGAGGTTGAGACAGGTCTAGCACTGTGTTTCAGGGATTGCTGGAGTTGTAGATTTAGCACTAGAAACTGACTTTCCCACCGAGGATGAACGAGTAAGAGCAGAAGCTCGTGGATTGGATTTGTTTGAAGTGGTTCTACCATCTGGATTCGAATTTCAAGAAGAGTTGGTTTGTCTTGTGGAAGGTAACGTGTGGCTCGTGAAGTGGGGTGTGGCTTGTCTTAACAGTTTACTGCTTGGTTTTGGTTCTGCAGCTGTGTTGGCTTGTTTGCTAGAAACGACCCAATAGCTAATTCATTGGGCTTTTTCTAACCCACAAAAGTTCACCAATAAAGGTCTGATTTTCTTATTCAGTCTGATTTTGACTAGCTGAGATATGTGATTATTTTGAATTTAGAACAATGGTCTACCACGATTATACAAAAAAATCTAATAATCCATTTATTCATATAATTTTATATTGACTACTCAAAAAAATGATAGGACATTAACAAAAAGAGATAAAAACATTTGACATAAGGCAAAGGCATTCATAGATAGTTCATTGCAAACTCACCCACAAGAAGAATTTAGAAAGTTCTCAAAACTCATCTTCATCAAGACACCCAAACATTGGAAAAATGATATAATACTCACTGAATCTCAGGAATCTCTCTGACAAATCTTTCCATATATATAAATGAATCAAGAAAATTGGGTATTTTTTCCATTGTCCACTGTCTCTCGATCGCTTTGGAAATTTTGTTTCAACACATTGGTACTTGTCTTCATTTAAGATGAGAAAACTCCTCCTCCTGTTGCAGTGACAACATTGTTCATCGCCTGATGTCCCAAGTGTATTGCATTTTGTTCTGACATATACAATTATCAGAATTTTGCGTTAAGTAATAATTATCATTGTCAATCTAGTAGCATGTAGTATGTAGTGATGTTATTAAAATGGAACCCACCCCATTTAATTTTAAACCTATTTATACCCTTAAGATTTGAAACTCATTTTTTTTTGGACAAATGATTTGAAACTTATTTAACTCTTCCCATTTAAACATATACTGACCTATGTAAACCCATTTAAACTATATATGATTTTTAAATATATTATTATTTATTAATTGTTAGTTAGATTATATATATATATGTGTTTTTTAAATAGAATTGTATTATCTTATTGTTAATTATAATTTATATATGGTTTAAGTTGTGTGTATTTTTGCAGTTTATGTGAGAGAAAAAACACGCTTTTTGTAGGAAAACAATCACCACAAACACACAATTTTGCACTTTTTATGGAAGAACGCGGTTTTGTGGTTTTGGCGGGAGAACGTTTTTTTGTAAAAAAACAAATTTTGTTGATAAGACACAATTTTACAGTTTTGACAGACTAACGTGGACGTGAAGACCAGAATAAACAGAATAAAAGCTACAATGACAAAATATAGAATTTTGCAGTTTTAGCTGAAAAATATTATTTTCGGTTTTGGAAGGAGCAACAGTTATGCATTTTTTGACAGGAAAATAGAATTTTGTGTTTTTGAATTAAAAAGATAAATGATTTAATAATTTTTTACTATTTTACTTAGTTATTAAGATATTATAAAAAATATATTAGAGATAATCATCATAAAGAAAAACATTTATTTATATTAAAACTTATTTAATAAATGAATCTAATTGGGGCAACCCATTTAACCCGTTTTAACTTTATCTGATAAAGCATTTCCATTTGATATATGGGTGTTGTATGCCCAAATTATTGATATCCCTAGTAGTAGCATGTATAGAAATGTGGAAATTAACTCACTCTGGGGAAGTTTGTCGACGAAGAAACAGATGGCAATAATGAAATAGCAAAGCAAGAGGACCAGTCCCTTCATGTAGTGAGAACTCCCATCCTAAAGAACCACAAAACATAACAAAAATATTAGTCACTCAACACTTGGATCATCCATTGATTGGTCTAATGGATTAATTATAAGGTGTTGAAAAATGCTTGACCTGTAATGTAAAGGCTGTGATGATAATGGAAACAGCAAGACAGCCAGTTTCGAGGAGACCGAAATTGAGATCCATGTTAATTCCCAAAATCCACGCCACGATGATGGTCAAGGGGACGACGAATAAGCCAATCTGAGTCGCAGAGCCTAATGCAACTCCCAAAGATATGTCCTAAAATTTATTTGGATT